CTGAGGTGGGTCTCCTGTAGACAGCAGATTGGAATAAGTGCCAGGTGAGCAGGATCAGCACCAGCAGTGGGTGCTAATGAGGCCATCTCTGGCAGTGGGTGCAAGAGGTGGTTGTCAGCCCCAATCACCCCTTCGGAGCAGAGGGAGGTGAAAATCCCTGAGGAGCAATCAGGCCAGCAGTAGCTGCTCCCACCCACTGACAGTGTTGACTGATTGGGGCTAGCATGGAGTGCCAGCAGCAGGTGTGAGCAGTGGCTCCGGTGCTGGCAGTGGGTGTGAGTGCCCAGTGGGACCACAGGAAGAAGGAGCAAAGAATTTTCAGTAACCACCAGAGGCTCGCCATGATGAAAGCAGCCAGCACCCCACCTTGGTCTGGTGCCCCTGCTCACCTGCTCCACAATCCTGCCATGGCCCACCATGTTCCACCCTCTGCCACCTGCTGCCAACGCCCACCATGTTCCGCACACACCCCCTGGTGGTCAGTGCACGTTATAGCGACCAGTTGTTTGGTTGTTCCACCTATTTACATATTAAGCATTTTTACATATTAAATAGTTCATTCTATTTATATATTAGGGTATTACTCAGTGTACTGGTAAATAATGGCAGATTTTGTAATTAAAGAAAACACGATGATTTCAAGAGAAACATCAAAAGTGTTTTATTCAAAGTAATGTCCATCACTAGCTACACATTTCCCCCAACTTTCAGGTAATTTGTGGATACCGTTCCAATAGAATTGTTCTTTTTTTGAGGCAAACCATTCAGAGACACAATTTTCTACTTCTTTGTATGTTTTGAAGTGCTGGTCAGAAAGTACATGTGCCATCAATCAGAACAAGTGGTAATCTGAAGGAGCAAGGTCTGGTGAATATAGCAGGTGGATTAATACTTCCCAGGCAAGATCTTTTAATGTGTCTTTAACTGGCTTTGAAGTGTGTGATGCTGTGTCATTATGAAGCAAAATTACTTTGCCATGTCTTCTGGAATATTCTGGTCGTTTCACAATCGATCAAAGCATGGTTCAAATTGATTATTTGTT